ATCGCCCCCCTAAACCGCTTCAACGCCCCCCAATCTTCTCTGTGCCATTTACTGCCCCCCTATAGGCCTCCAGCGCTCACAAGGGGGCGTTGTCGCCCACTTTGAGAAAAACTATTCTAGAGTCTTCTCTGGCATCAAAATTAGTGGCAAAGAGACATCAAACCAGTCAAAATCTTCTGATGTATCTGAATTACCTAATCTTCATCCTACCAAGTGATTCAAAATTTTGCAAATACAGTGTTGTTTATAACTCCATGTGATTTGTTTGTATGATTAAACTGAATTTTGTAGCGTTAACCTTGTTATATTTTTACAGTGCGTGAATATGAAAGAGAACAAACAGATGTTTAACTATTGCCGTTTACGACAGAACTAAAACTCATTGATATACATTGAACGGATCAACGCTCTCTCGAGAGGTTAAAGTGTTCTGGAATGCAACCACTTGCCTGTACAGGGTGGTAAGAGACATAAGAAAAGAAAAGAGTGAAGAAAATATGAATTAAACGAAATCTTACCGTACACCATGTCTCCAGTGCAATAATAAGGATTTATTCATAATATGTTAATCTCATACCAATCTTTACAGATACTCCCAATTAAATTACTATTGGATTACGATAAGCCTCTTGCCAGCCAATGTCGTACTTATAACTAGTTTTAATTAGGGTAGCAAATGAAACGTGACTTCTTTGTACTTTTTTTCGTATTTTATTCAGTATTATAGATAATAGTACAGTTAATAAAAATGTTATATAGGGTGTTAATTAAGTATGTACCATACATTTAACAGACGACTCTTCAGGTAATTTCAAGACGAAATGTTCATATAAACACGGGTCCGCAAATCCTTCGTTCTCAAGATACAGGGTGTTAAAAAAAAGTTATTCGTAAATATCTTAAATATCCTTCACCTAATTTTGTTGTAATTTGGCAATGGTATTAATAACATTAAGGAGCTAATTTAGCCCGAACGTGATACGAATTATTAAGTCCAGTGGCGTCTCGAGCGAGATTTGAACGAATATTTTTGACTTAAAAATGTACGCCACTGACTTTTGTGCAATTTTCATTATTTCTTTGGATTGAGAAATTAGAAATACAACGTTTATGTCTTTTGAATTTTTTTCGTATCTTGCTTAGTTTTTAAGAAAAAAAGTCGACCTAATTGCATATCCCTGGACCTCACAAGGAATAAAATGGGGAATTAATTTTTTTATGGAAATCATTATTTTTACAATTTTTCATTACTAATTATGTAACAATAACAACAAATATTGAATAACATTAACATCTAGACTAACGAATTGCACTAAATTGAGTGTTGGAAATGGTCTCCTTCGGCTTCGTTACAACCGTCTAGCCACCGCATAATTGAATTTTGCACTCTTTTGAAAATACCTGGCGTATTTTTTATTATGTCACATGAATTATTGATTTCATTCCGTAAATCCTCTTCACTTTGAATAGCAGTTTTGTATACCAACGCTTTAAGGTGTCCTCAGAGAAAATAATCTAAGGGATTCATTTTGGGCGAGCGAGGTGGCTATGGGTGTGGGCCTGCTCTCCCAATCCAGCGATTATGGTAATTTTCATCTCGAAGCANTTTTTTTTTTTTTTATTTTAACACCCTGTATCTTGAGAACGAAGGATTTGCGGACCCATATTTATATGAACATATAATGTACATTTATGGTACATACTTAATTAACACCCTGTATAATGATACACTCATCCAGATATAAACTTCACTCAATCACTATCTGAATACAAATTTTCTTCATCTTCTCTGCCGCTCGTGCCTGTGTTGCTGTCGTCATTTAAATTTATAATCAATGGATTCACCTTTGCTTGAACGTCGGTGAATGTTTCATTTTCCCAATATCTCCGCTCTATATCTACTACATGTCGGCAAAGTTTTTGCCACTCGTCGGAAGTGATTTGAGATCAAACTCGGGCTCTGCCAGTTTCCTCACATCTTCCAACTTGAAAGTAACATTCTTTTGGGACACGTTGTTTTTGACAGTAGCCCAAATGAGTTCAATGGGATTCAAATCTGGATGTTAGGGTAGGAGTCGCAAAACTTTATGTCCGTGTTCAAGCAGAACCACATCAAGTTTGTATCTGTTATGATGCTTTTGATTTACCTTGATCAACTCGTATAATAAGTTCGAGCATGTCAGGGGTGAACATAATGCTTTTTTCGTGCAGTCACTTCACCATGTCAGCCTTTCTTCACCATGTTGTTATGGTATGGAGCATTATCGGTCACGACTACCGAATTCACAGATAAATTTGGCTATAACTTTTCTTGTAACCATTCACCATAATTTTTAGAATTTATTTCTGAATGATAATCCCCTGATGTTGTGCCTGATTTAAATATAAGCTGACAATTAGGTATGAGGCCCATGTCACTTCCTACATGGGCAATAATGAGTCTTGATCCCTTCGCAATATTTTCAAATTACCCTTTGGTTGATTCATCTGTACAGTTCTTGAGAGACGTATGTCCACTATGAAGGTATGTTTCATCAAGAAACACAAATGGTCGCTGTTGGCTACGAAAATAATTGATTTTTTGTAAATACTTGATCCTCAATGCTCTAATGCCCATTTTCTCTATTATCTTCAGTCCTTCTCCATTTGAAACCTACTTTCTTTAAAATTCAACTGAAAAATTTTTTGAAAGCCACAATTCCCAAAACGTCATTAATTTTATGTTGGAACTTATTTTCTGTAATACGTTTTTATTGAAATACCTAATACAAAATACAAACTTGTGTTGAAATAATCATTTTTTAAATTCTTTCAATGTTACCTGTAGCGGGAGTAGTTATATGTAGTGATTATTTAAGAGGTATAGGATTTGATTTTCAAAACAACAGAAAAAATTTGAAAATATTGTTGAAATCTTTATTGGAATCGTTAGAACGATCAATATAATTTAATGTTTGAAGATGATTTCATGCAAATGTTGTCCGCGGTTCCGCTTTAGATGGCCATGCGCAAAGTTCAATTTTGACACACTCTCTCTCTAACATGTCGACCGGTATTTCACGTATAAATGCTTCAATATTGGCTTCCAGAGCTTCAGTCGTTGCTGGTTTATCCCTGTAGACATGAGCCTTAACATGACCCCAGAAGAAATAATCCAAAGGCGTTGAATCACACGATCTAGGCGGCCAATTGACGGGCCCCAAATGTGAGATAAACTGTTTACCGAAGGCGGCTCTTAATTGGGCCATTGTTTCGCTTGCCGGCATGTGTGGCATGATGGCACCGTCTTGTTGAAACCACATGTCAGGCATTTTAGGCAACAAAACTCGCCAATCATCACACGGTAGCGTTCGCCATTCACAGTAACGTTCCGGCCATTGTCGTTTTTGAAGAAGTACGGCCCGATGATACCACCGACCCATAATCCACACCAAACAGTGACTTTTTCGGGATGCTTGTTAACGTATCCATTCAACCAGAAATGAGCCTCGTCGCTGAACACAATTTTTCGATAAAAACTATGGATCTTCCTCCACCTTTGCCAGCGCCCATTCACCAAATGTTAGACGTTGTGGGAGGTCGTGTGGCTTCAATTCTTGCACCAGCTTTATCTTATAAGGTTTAACACCAAAATACTTTCGCAAAATTTTCCATGTAGTGGAGTAACAGAGGCCCAATTGCTGCGAACGGCGGCGAATCGACATTTTACGGTCATCACGAACACTGGCGGATACGGTCGCAATATTTTCTTCGGTCCTCACTCTACGTGTGCGTGTTGGTAGTTTAATGTCCAATAATGTAAACTGGGTTCGAAAATTTGCCACAAGTTTCCGAATAGCTCCCTCAGTGGGCCGACGAAACTGCCCATAAATTGGAAGAAGTGCACGACGCACTTTTTCCACCGAGCATGAATTTTGATATTAAAATTCAATAATTTGCAATCGTTGGTTAAATTATAAACTAAACTGAATAAGTTTGACAATGACCCAAGACACGATTCACGTTTGATCTGTCAAAAACAGTTTTACCAAAAAGATACCAGCAAAAAAAAACCACTCATTATTTCTCACATTTGATATCCGTCTCACATTCAACACTTTGAAAATAATTGAATACTTTAAAGATTATTTCACGTGCCTAACCCTTGATGACTGGTTTTTTGTTAGGCGATAACATTTTTTCAGAAACAACAAAAATTATTCAGACAATGCCATACGCCAATAGCATTGGAGGACAAGTTACATTGAAAATGAGTTTGTGCGCATGAGAACAGGCTCACCATCACGTTTGGCGCTTGCTGTAAAACTTCTTTATTTCATCGGTACGATTACTGATTTTGTCTGTACCTTGTTTGATATGAATGTGTCATTTCCTGTATGTTTTCTGAAATTTGGTCCAAAATTTTTGTCAATACAGGGTGTAACTGAATAAGTGTAAAACATTTGAGGAGGTGATTCCTCATTGACAAAAAGATAGGATGAAATATAGTTAACACCAA